AAAGAGGAGCTGCCCTCAATTTTATGTTTTTCATATTTTATGTTTTCATTTTTTTTAAATGCAAGTTCCATTTCAAGATCTGATGTTGCTTTCATGTTTGCAATTCATTTTATGGCCAAACTGGAGCTGGAATCTTGCACAGCGCAGCATTACCTGCTTAAGAACTACAGAAACGGTTTGTAAACGTAGCGTTCAGGCTGGGCGTACCTTCCTTCATTTCCCTGTTCCTGCTGTGATTGCTTTTGAGGAGCAAGAGTTGAGCTGCTCAGCACCATTTTGACCCTTTCATTTTCCTAGTGAGAAGAAGGGAATTGCTGCACCACAACAGAGAAGGAGCAAGACGGTCGCTGGAGCCACAGGAACCAGAGATAACGGAAGGCGAGCAGATGCCCCTATGTACCCAGGTATGGTTTTGGCAAGCTTTGCCCCCCGTGACAGGCTCAGCTCCACGGGAGTCTGAGGCTTTGGAGAAGTGAAGGTTTTGCTGGTTTATCTTTCCTGATAAGCCCGCTTACGTGGAGGGTCAGGATCAGAGGGTGACTTGTGGCCGCTCGAGAGCCACGCTGGGTGAAAGCGTTAGCTTTGCATACTTGCTAGTTCATGTAGGCGATGTGTGACCTGGCGTGTACTCTCAGCCTGCAAAATAGCTTCTCTGCTCCGATCCAGGCTTGAATCTGAAGTATAAGAAGAAAAAGATATCTGTAGTAAACAGGAAAAGAGCCAAGAGCCTGGACTGAGATTAGGAGCTGCGTTAATTTTAGCTAGAGATTCAGAGAGGAAAGGAAAGGGCAAAGCGGGGGAAGATGTTCCTCCCCTTTCTCCTTTTGCTACCAGTTGGTATTCTTGCTGCTTACAGGAACAGCAAGGGGCTGAAGAGAGGTGAGGAGGTGTCAGAGCAGTAGACAAATGCTCCTTTAAAGCCAAAGATAGGTACTGTCATTAGTTAAACTGTGGATAATGAGTAACTTTCTGCTTGATGTTTATCACCAGCTGGTCTCCCACACATGAGACTAACAGGTCTTCTGCAAAAGGGCCGGGGAGCTCCTCGTTTTCACTGGGGCTTCTGCCATCTCCCGAAACGGAGATCCGTTCCAGCTCTGTACCTTGCAGTAATGTACCACGATGGTTTGGAAAGGGAAAGATTTTGCTGAGTCTTTCTGGTGTAAAATTTAAATATAAGTTGGCAGCTCATCTCATACTCAGAACCAGGGTTTCTAAAGCACTTCCTTTGGAAGTGTGGCTGAAACTCTGTGTTTTACAGACAGCAGAGACTGAGGAGGTAGAGAAAGGGAGATCTTCAAAAGGCAGAGTCAGGAAAAGAACCCACCTCTCCTTTGATTATGTTCCCACTAGTCCATGATTATGTTCCCACTAGCCCATGCTGCGCCCAGGATTTCAGGAGGATTGGTCCATTGCAAATGGATTGCAGATTATTAATATAGCCCACCAAAGAGCAGCAGAAATATCCCCACCCAGGGAAGCCATTCTTACTCCGTTATGGACACACTTTATTTGTATATTGAGAAAAATTTCTCCCTCGTTTCATTTCTGAAATTCTACTCGCTCTGTGGTGGTGACTGCACTGCTGAGCTTCTGACTAGGGTCAAGACCACGTCTCTCTGGTAACACAAGGTCAGGCCAGCGCAGGCACTTCTGTGAGCTGCAGCTCCAAATTGACAGTTAAGCAAAATATTCCGTTTTCTTTGCCAGCTGGAGCGAGTCCTTGTTTTCAGCTCATTTGCTATTCAGCAGACCATGGATTTTTCTAGGAACATCAGCAGATGCTGATCACGAGGGCCTGCGTGATAAAAAGTGGGAGAAAGCTTGGGGACTAAAGAACATTCTTATTCTCCCCCTCCCAGGGGAGCATTGCTCCCTGCTACAGCAGATAAAATTGTTTTTAGTCCATGACCCACTGAAAAAGTACGAGTTTTAACTGCCATTCCCACAGGAACCATGCAAGAATGTTGGGTTGTTGTGTAGTTTTGTTCCCCCCACCCCCCATGTTGCAAGATGAGGGGATAAATATGTAAGTACTTTTTAAAATAAGAGCTATATGAGGATTTCTAATTCTTTTCACATGGGCCACCAAGGAGCCAATATGTGGTAAATGACATTCAGCTGTGTGTGCTCCCCCCCCCGCCCCGTCTGTGGCCTGGGTTTGGACTGGTGCCCCAGAGATGAGATGCTGATGCTCGTGCCTCGAGCCATCAGACACAATCAGATGTTTGGTCCTTTTTTCCCCCGTTATCCCCACCTCCATGTAGAACTCCCCGTTCATGACAGGGGAAGCTAATGAGTGCAGTTTGTTCCAGTGCTGAATAATACGCACTTAATCCATGAATAAATAAGAGGGTTTGTGAGAGGTGAGATTAATTTTGGATAGTCAGACTCCTGCAGTTCTAGCACTAATGGTCGTTCTCTGCGTAGCACCTCTTAGCGTGAGCCTAGGCGTGTCGTAACAGGTTCTTGCATTGGCTTGGGGGCTTGAACGAAGCGGTGCTGGTGTGCGCCCCGGCCTGCTGCACCAGGGCTAACTTTCCGCTTAAATGTGGCAAACGTAGCAGAGAGAACCATTTAGAAATAGTGCTGAAAGGAACATTTCACGTTCACAATGCTGAATAAAGGGGAGGAGAGAGAGGCTAAGCATACTCCGTGGAAGTGAGGAAGTATTTATTTTTAAGCTAAAACTTGCCCTTGGGAACATAGCCATATGTTGTGCGTTATACGGCAGCCCCACTTTAAACATTTCGGCAACTCAGATTGAAAAGAGCAAAGCAAGACTGAGGTGATTTAACAAGGAAAGTGTGTTGTGTTGTGCAAATGGTCCGATCCTTTATGTTCTCCATAGCCTCTAGTGGACCACTGTAGGTTTCATGCAACGTTTGTTCCCTTCTGATGGCTGTCCAAAGCCTGCTTTTTCATGTGACATTTATTGCACCCAGAGATGTCAGGATACGCATCCCTGACTGTTTGCTTAGAAAATCCCAGCTCCCTACAAATGATGCCCAGGTCCTGGTTGCTGCTGCTAACAGTGAAGACAAAGCGAAGTCCGTTCTGTCCCCTGCCTTCCCTTCCTATTCCCCATTCCACCATATGGATTTCCTCAAAGCGTAATGTGTTCCATTGCTTTTAGACACTGTGCAGAAACCAAAGCTAGGAATGTTTTTCTGTCCAAATATAGTCAGGATGACAGTTCTCGCCTGTAGTCCCAAGTATCTGCCCTTGAGAACCTGAGACCTCTAAAATTCATCGGAACTCCGAATCCACAGCAGCAATTCTCTGCGCTTGTATAAAAGCAGTCGTTTCAGGGGCTCAGGCTGCCTGATAAAGCCTGGAGAATATTTTCAGCTATTGGAAAAGACAGGGATAAACCTTCAGAGTTCTGACTGACTGCTTGCCCTTGGCACAGGGCAGGACTGGCTCCCAGAGGGGAGTCTGGGGAGTTGTCTGAAGCATCTGAAAGAGGCTTAAATTCTGACAAATGCTGTAGCTTTGAGGCCACCGATGGCTGCATTTGAGAGTCCCTGAAGCACAAGTATCTTTTGGGAAAGCCGTGATATTCTTAAGCCAGGGCAGGGAACACGGATGAAATGTCAACAGATGTGCACTCTGGTCCTAATAACCCTTACAATATCTACAGGAGAGAGCTGTGCTTGAAACTGTAACAACCACAGTATTCATGAACTGAGTATAAACCTGAAATTTCACTTTTTACCAGCAGCAGCACTGAGGATTCTGGCCAAAGCTTGTGCACCAGCGATTCCAGATGCACGGTGACTTTATCAGAAGCATTGTTAGCGTGCACGGCATTAAGTTCATGCGTCTCCCTTAGCTCCACAAGTTGCATCTGTAAGTTCTGAATACTTCAGCATAAGAGCTTTCTTCATCTGACTCTCATTGCCATAATAACTGAGGTTTGTCTTGGCCTTACTGCTGAGCTGGTTTCTGAGCAAATATTTGGCTTAAATTTTAAAAGTTTTGAAAGCATTCTGCAGCCAGTGATTTTTGTAAAGTTGGATGCACAGGCACTGAATTTCTACGTGGATGGGCACAGTGCATTCACAGCATATGGGGGGGAAGTGGACTACGTGCTTTCCAAGAATCCCTGCTCTCTCACTTTGGAACCATCAAGGTATAACCTACCCACTACGTTGACAGGGAAGTGGAATCCGGAATGTCACAGAGGTTGTGGATCATTTCTGCAGCTCAAGATTCCCATTCACCCCCCACATGGGACACAAGAAGATAAATGGCTCATATACTTCAGTAACTCATGGAAAAAGCCTTGGCTGTGCTAACCTTTAAGTACTCGGAAACAGTGAGGTCCTCAAGAACGCGCTTTTACTAAAGCTCTAGATAGGAGCTTGAGGGGTGGGGTCTGAGCCGAGATGGATTTTACAAAAACTTTTACTTTCTTTACATTAGGACAAAGGAAATTCTTAGTTCTCTCCGGCTACGTGGTTGTGCGAGTTCTCAGTCTGTGCCTCAAAACTCAGGTTCATGTAGTCCTCTTCAGAAACAGCAAGGCACTAACTGGGTGCTTGCAAGATTTCAGGTTCCTGCTCTGCAAGATTCCGTGGCTTTGCCCTCAGGCAAGTCTTTTCTCCTGCACAGTATGGCCTTACCCTGTAAGGTGTAGGTAACAGCACTGCCCTACCTTCCCCTGATGGGAGAGTAATGCTCTGGGCGACTGCGAGATGCTCGGGTACCCTGGGTATATGTAGCAGTGCGTAAGTTAAAACCTTCTTCAAGGCGGGTGCACTTAATGCTGTTACACAGTTCCATGGCTGAGACTCAATGTTCTTCCAGCACCGTGTTTGCTAGCAGTATTTTTCTTTTGAGCCAGTACTGCTTTACTGGAGAAGAGCTCTTGGCTGAAGTTTTTGAGCCCCATTCCAAGGCAGGTTTTTACTTCAAGACTCCCTTCTCAATCAGTCTTTCTGCAGATGTGTTCTTGTCTGCGGGCTGACAGAAACTCGTTCAGGGGACTAGAGACATTGGTAAGCATAGGAGCGTGTCGTTACCAGTTTCTCCCTTCATACTGTGGTCTGCAGCTTAAGCCTCAAATGGAGGTGCGTTTGCACCGCCCTTTGGAGCTCCCAAGGAAGCACCTCCTCAGAGTGCTCACACACGAGGATGCTTGATTCTGCCAACTGTGCTACTGGGGGAGAGGCGTAACCATCCCTAGACAGTTGTAGCTGAGATGGCAGCTGAGGTGACAGACAGACAGACAGCTGAGGTGAGCCAGTAGCTCAGACTGCTGCAGTTGACCCCTTTGATCCACAAGAGTTAGAGCCCTGTACCCTTGCGTTCTGCTCTTTCTCTTCCTCCTCGTGCCAGCTTTCCTTTGTAATTCTATTCGTGCCTTCCTTCCATGTTGCTCCTTATTCTGTCCTTCTCCTGGTGCCTGAACAACGGCCGTACTTTGTCCGCTCTCTGCAGAAAGCGTGGTTTTTTTCTCCGAGGGGAGCTTGGTGAAAATTGAGAAAGAAAATTTTCATTAAATTGTACACAGACTCACTGGTCATATTTACACTGAGTTGTTTAAACGCTTCACACCAGCTTTAGTCTGAAAAGATATGAAACTTATAAAATGTCACAAGCTTAATTATGACTAGGGGGAAAAAAAATCAGATTAAACCATTTTTTCATTATTAAAAGTGCAAGAAGTTTCTGAAACCTTCCAAATGCTTCAGATATTCCCTAGGAATGTTTTATACTGGCTGGCAACAGAACTGTCCCCTCCCTGCCATTTGCTTGTGAAACTGGGAGGCTGCACCGTTCCTTTTCCTCTGCCTGGTCAGAGCTGTTCAGCTAGGGACACCCCGGATCAGGAGCGCCCGGGATCCAGCGCTCAGTGACCAGACAGAAAAGTGCAGCTATTTCTGAAAATCTGAGCATTTCTGAGTAAGCTTTTTAAGAAATCCTGAATTCGCCTTAATGTCTGCAGCCTGGAGATGCCTTAAAGGACCTAAGAGCTTAAGGCAAGCTGACCGCTTCTCCAAGTCTGTCTTTCTGACGTGCTCAAGCTGAGGTACCCAAAATCAGTGGTTCTGAAAATGCTTGTCTTTCTCAGCACGATAACCCCATACTGGGTAGTTCCCAAATACACAAGAAATTCACAGGTCTCTTGCCAAATTTCATGGAAGAGGGAGTCCATAGTTACTTTTATCTGAGTTTGCAAACTCCCTGACCGGCGTTCCCTAAGCAGAGGAGCCCTGCCTGCTCCCTCGCAGCATCTCATTTTTCATTCTGCTCCTGAAGGCAGCCCCTGACAAATGACAGCTCTTCTAGTGTTAAGCATCCCTAATGAAACATTCCAAGGGCATGAGGCTGGCTTCTGGATTCCTTTTTCTGCCCCTTCCCCCAATTTTTTCATTACATAAAAGCTGACAACTGCAGATTTGTCCTCTGTTGATTATACAGTCAGTTAAAGGAAAGAGTTCGTGTCCATCCCAGCTTGTTTCACTTTGCTGCTTTTCCTCCGCCAGCCCAACTTTCAGCTGCAGTAATCCGATACCGCTTGGCAGGGGCCAAGAGAATCTTTGGCACATTGGAAAGAGGCTTAATGTAAAGTCTACATTTTTTTTTTTATTTTTTTTTTTTTTTTTTTTTTTTTTAGAGCTTTTTAAAACTTTAGTGCTTCTGCACAACTTGGCAGGAACCACAGAGCTACTCACAAATGCTCCAAATGCAACTGTGAGCAAAAGGATTCCCAACGAAGAGGATGTCTTAGTATCTGTTGCATCTCCCTCTAAAAAAGTATTAAAGAACAACATGGACCAAGTGGAACAAGTTTCTGCAAACAGAAGGAAGAGCTTCCTCGCAGTTGACAAGAAAAAGAGCAACGGCTGTCGAACCGTCGTGGGATTTTTATGCATATTCCCTGTGGTGGCTTTGCTGGCTGTTGTGGGAGATCCAGCTGGAGCTGCGGTTCAGAAAAGTCAGGTAGGGGCAAGGATCTAATTCTCAAATGCTTGAAGGGGGAGGGGGGGCACCAAATATATGTGCGTGTGTATTGTTTTCAGAAGATGGATAAATTCAGGAGGCAATCTAAACAATACGTAAATAACTGTTAAGGCACCAAGATCTGTTTATGGCTGTTGGAGTCCCTTTTTGCAAAGGATCCTAAGAGGTAATTATGCATCCAAGTAGAATCAGACTATTAGAGATGTGTATGGGGCTTGCAGGCAACCAGTGAATGCACAAAAGATTTGGGTTGTTTTCCCCCAGAGCTTTGGCTATTCTTCCGAGTACTGCTGCTTTCCCAGCCCAGTATGATGTGGCATGCATATATTCCGATTTCCACAGCAGCTGAGCTTTCCTAGGAACTCCAGAGGCAGGGCTTATGTGTAAGGTCTAAACCAGGAGTTACAGAAACTGTTAGCTGACACTAACTCTCCTTCAAGGTCCGTCCGTTAGCAAGATACGCTGGGACAGACCTGTCAGGAGGAACTGAGCAAGGCTCTGGGCCTTGCAGAAGCTGACCTTAATTTTTGCTTTTAGCTTAATTTTAGCTTCTCATTTTATAAAAAACCAGTCTTCTCTAAGTGCTCGCATCCTCTCCTGCTCTTTGTGTTTATGAAGATCCAGGCAATAGCACCCCTTGTTTGCATCGTACGCTCGGGGCTTTTATTAATTGGTGCTAAGTCACAGAGTTATGTTACTGTTTAGTTTAGGGAAGGGGAACTGCATGACTAGGAGAGAGAGAGGGGAATCAATTCTATTCATTACAACTCGGGGAAGTAAATTAACGGAGCTCTGACTGCACAGGGTGCCTGATGTAGAGCAGGGATGTTGGCCGGTGTCTGCCTCTATGTATGTTGGTGTCTGCCGCAATTCTTGAGAAGCACCTGCCCTCCTAGTACCTCCCAAGCTTTTTGAATGTTGGCAACCTTAACCCACAGTCGAACGGGTTTCCTCCTGGGAGCAGATGACCTCTTCTTCAGTTCCAACTATTCCCATAGTCGTGGTTCTTTGGCATCCAAACAGATCCCTTGATAGGAATTATACTGTGAATTTTTTAACTAGCTCATTCCCTTTCTTTCAGAATCCTACATCTGAGCTCCAGCATATGTGTGGTACCCCACCCTTCCCAATTCATTTTGCAACACAGTCTTAATGAAAAGCATCCTGGTACACCAGTGGTAGGTAGAACAAAGACTGGAGTGGAACAGAGACTGAGCAGAACGTTTGAGCAAGAGAACTCAACCCTCTGCACCTTTCTTGATCGGGTGATTGGGTCAGGTACAGGTTTCAGTGATCGCTTCTGGGCCTCAGTCACCCTTATTTTATTTTGTATTTTGAGGATAAGCTCACTAGGGACACAGATATTTATTTTTTTTTCTTTTTTTCCTCCTTGTCTGTTCAGCACTCTCAGCCTTCGGGTTTCAAGCTCAATGACCATAGAAAAGGCAAAACTTTTTCTCCCTTGGGGCTGCAGGAGCTTCCCGTGTAGAAGCAGCAGCTGTCAGACCGTTTCTGACACTCTGATTTTCCTCTGCTGTTACCCAGGGGGCTTTAAGAAGAGCCTCAGGATTTCACCCTATGCTGGTGTAATTTAATAGCTGGGTGGCAGAGGCGGTAGAAGGGGCAGCGTCCATGACCCAGCCTGCGCCGCTTACAGCTCAGGGTGTTACCATAAACTGGAAATGCTGCCAGCTGGGCTGTGAATTATAGGGGCTAGAAAGCAAATGCACTGCATGTTCTGCTGGGTTTGCTACGGAACAGGAGCATCTGTCACAAGGACAGACAGCTACTAAGAGTGTTAATACCTTGCCTCATCCCATCATAAGTTATCAGGTCTCCTGAGACTGAGAGTTCACAGTACTAGCGATCCCGGGCTGTTCGTGACTGATGCCAGAGTGAATGTCTGATCAGCACCAATACTGGCAAGGGATCATAGAGAAAACGACAAAGGCAGAAGGGATTTGCCTAATTCTATCCTTCTTGAAAGAACTGCAAAAAAAAGGGAAAATGCGCAGGCTAGCTGATCCTCCGTCTTATCTGCGCTGCTCGAAAGGATGCAAAATTTTTCTTTTGTATCAAGGGAAAATCACATTCTCGGAGTAGAATCCAAGGTAGAAACCACTGGAGGTGAAGGGAGAGGGACAAGAGCCGGTGCACTCGCATCAGATGTGCCTTGGTGAAGAAGGGGCTGGGCCTTGAGCTGAGTGAACCAAAACGTATGGATTCTGAGCCAGATCCCTTAAGACAGCAGTGACAAAGGTTAAAAGGGAAAAGTGATCCTGTGTGCTCTTCCAAGAGCAAGTTGGTATCTGAAGGCTCCCAGAAACGTTAGCAAACACCCTGCCAGAAGCTTGGAGCTCAGAAGGCAAAGTATTGGTTAACATTTCTCTGTCTCATAGGCAATGTTCTATGGCCCTTGCGTTCCTTATGTTCAGACTCTGCTGATTTCAAATTGTGAGTCAGACCCACAGCCGAGCTGGGAGAAAGACTAAAAGACTGTCCTTTTCCTTCTAGGAAAGAAAGATACTGAGATGAGAACAAAATAGAAGCCAGCAGGGCTCGCAGACACGAGCAAAAGGGACTGGTTTCCTGTTAGGACAGAGTCCCTCAGCCTTTACCAGTCGTGGCTAGCTGTCGTCGTGGAAAGATGCTGTAGTGATTTGGGCAGTATCTGGCAGCTGTTGCTTCAAGCTGCTTCTCTTCTCTTGCCATTTGCCTGTCGCGGGAGCAGGGATATGCTATTTTGACTCCTGGAGGCTCAGATCTTCCATGAGTGAAATGAAGACGGCTCTTTCTTTCTGCAGAATGTGCTGCTAGGCTGAGCAAACTCGTACTGCTGCAGCTTTTGTAACGTTGCCACTGTACGTTCTGCTCAGTAAGTGTCTTGGTGCCTCTGGACCAAAGATGACCCAGAGATATTCAGTGTCTTCATCCCGAAACAGGGAGGCAGAGCGGGTGGGCTTCCAGAGAACCGCGCTGGGTCCCCTTCTTTTATTTCCACTGCTCAGGGCTAACAGGCTTTTATAGTCTGAGTCAGACCTGTCACCAGATTTGATGGCTTTTACTGTATGATGGCTTTAAATGCACTCCAGGGTTTCCAGGGCTCCTATTTACTTTGAAAGCATTTCAGATCCACAGCGCAGCTTTATAAAGAGCTCTCTGCACAGAGAGTTGCCTGTTTTACTCATCTGTCCAGTGTTTTATTTCTTCTGTGGTGAGGCTGGAGAGCAATAGCAAAGTGAAAAGGAAATGAAAACTTTCCAGGAAGAGCTGCAGACTCACCGTGGCCAGAAGCCTACCGAGGCCTCATTTCTGCTCCATCTGTGCTGCGCTCCAAGAGGAGCAGAGTGGCTGCGGTGCCCCGTTCTGGAATTCTGCAGCAGCCCAGGGGAGCCTGCAGCACTGATCCTCTGCGATCCTGTGCTGAGGAGTGCTGCTCCCTTCCTTTCTTTGCACGTCTGATCTAAGGCATGCCCCAAGAACTCCTCCTTTTGCTGCTTTGCTTTCGTTCAGCACGCTCGGAGCAGGCGTACTTCGCGAGGCTCTGACCAGCCGATGCGCTGGTCTTGTCTCCTGGATGCCCATAAGGAGTACCAGTCCCAAACGTCCCATACCTGGTAGTTTTTCTTTTACACTGTTCAATCCTGCAGTCTCTCCCGTCTCTTTCAACCTCCTCTTTTGTCTTTTAAGGAAGATGCCGCATCACCTGGTCTTCGTGGAGTGAGTGCCTCCAGTCCAGCTTTCCCACCTCGGCCTCCAGCACGGAGAAAACGATACACGATCACGCCAGGGCACTTGAAATGGGACCACTTCAACTTGACATACAAGTACGGACTTGCATTAGCCCTAAGAGTTGGCATTTTCTAAGTGACACGGGGGTCTGAGTTTTTCCTGCCGTGGGTGTATATGCTAACCATTTGCTAGCGAATGGATAGCTGCTAAGGCCACTTGGAAGTAGGAGGTGTTTCTACAAATGCTGCACCTCGCACCTCAGCTGCGCATCACGTGAAGCTCTGCAGCTGCATGAGAAGCTCGCAGCACGTATGGCTGCGTGCTGAGGCTACTTACAGCAAACCCAGCTGCTCGGGGGCAGATTCCGGTTGCAGACAGGCTTCCCAGAACTAGGGACTTCCCTCGGAAGGTGGTGAGCTGAAGATTAACTCTGTGGTGGTGGTATTTTTAGAAGAGCTCCGTATGAACCTAAATCATCACGGAGGGAAATGGCTGCTGAAAGGTTCTGTGATTTCAGGAGGACAGAGCTCTGTTGGTGCTGAGTGCTTGTAGGAATCTCTCTTCCCCTTCAGGAAAGGATGCCGACTCTTAGATCACTAACAATTAACTAGGAAGAAGCCCTTGGCAATTCTAGGGTGAGCGAATGTTAACCCTGATATTTTCAGACATTTCTGCTGGGGAAAGTGGCTGTTGAGATTACTGATTTCCAGCTGGGTTTACCACTGCGTTTCAGCAGTACCACACAGCCATGGAGTGCTCTGGTTTTGATATGATGGAGCTATGTAAACGTGCAATGCTACTACTGCTTTCGACAGGCAGGCTGTTCGGAGCCAAAGCTGATGGAGTCCTATGGACTTTCACACTGAACTGTTTCACGCTGCTCTCTGGTTCCACCGCTGCTGCTGGCATCAGGCAATGTCAATCCATTCTGGTGTTTGGCCTTGGAGCTCTCTTCCTTGCTTCAGCAGTGGCTGAACAGCCCCTGAAACTGTCCAGTGCGATGGGCGGAGATGGCAGCATCCTGAAAAGATGCTTTTTCTCACTGGGAAAATATTAATGGCATCGTTGAATGTTGTTGTTGAGCGTTTTTCAGGAGAGCTAGCATGGGTTCACACAGAACGAGGTTCAGGGAATCCCCTCAGAAACAGTTTCATAAGATGGGCACTGGCAGGTAGGATCAGGCTGCCATGGTAAACCTCAGCCTAGCACGAGCCCTGGAGGTTTGACTGAAGAAGGGTCTGTTGTTCATTCCTGGCTGACAGTCTGCACCTTCCTGTAGGCACAGGAGCCAAATCTGGGTTTTTTTTCACTGTCTTACGTGATTACAAAGGTCCTTTTAATGTGGCTGCTAACTCCAGCCTCTCCTGAGTGTAAAGTACAGAGCAAGCCCCAAACCTGACCTCTCAAGAGAGCTTCAATCACGAACTGTTAAATGGTGGTGGCTTGACTGGCAGGTCACGTTGGATTTTGGAAAACACTTGGAGGTGGCCTCTGGCAGCAGCAATGCACATTGCAGCTTTTTCTCGGCATTGGGCTGAGGACATCATGGAGCTGTGAGGGTCCCTTCACACTCCAGCTCTGGAAAGCTGACCGGGCCGTGACTGTAATGGGTGGGGGAGTTTTCTGTCACCATCAAAGAGGAAAGGAAAGCATTCTGAGCTGTTTGCAGCAGGTTTGCCCAAGGCAGTGGAGGTAAGGAGTGAGGAGGGCGAGTGGGGCGGGCAGGACAGCAGCAGTTCTGGCTGTCGGGGAGCTCCATGCTAACCCCTGCCTTCTCCACAGAAGCAGGAGGGGGAGTATCTCAGGGTCACCAAATGCAGGCCAGGGAGGTAATCCGCAAGGTGTGGCTGATGCTGGGGTTACCTCTGCTCTCTGGGAGGCCGTTACGCCATCGCTTACACAGAAGTCTCGTGGTAACCATCACTGCTCGAGGGGCAGCGTTGTGATGGTTGCGTTGTGCAGAGCGTGGTGCTGCAATGCTGGTCGGTACCCAGTGACTTCCCAGGGGACAGCAGGGGTCCGTGCTGCCTGCAAGCCCAAAGAATGAGTGGGTGGCATGAACCTGGCTCCTGCACACTGAGCAGAGAACATGTCTCTCCCTTTACGTTCATCCCAAACAGGCTAAGCCTCATGAGACTCTTAATTAGAATCATAGAATCATAGAATGTTTTGGGTTGGAAGGGACCCCAGAGGTCATCTAGTCCAAATTGTCCAGGTTTACACTCGTTAACAGCCTGGCTTGATATGAAACCTTCTGCTCCCTTTAGGATGTGCTGGGACGAAGGGAGAACATAAACAGCATAGCTAAAATACAACCAGAGGGGATAGCAGAATATACACAACTTTCCCCAATTGCTACACTTCAGGCAGTTCCCTGAATGCAGATCTTCTTTTGGGACAAGGTAAGTTTCCAGGAGCCATCTGTGCATTTCCATGGTTCTGCCATCCTGCACCAGTGGTTTTCTTACAGTTCAGCTGTAGCCGTGGCCTCAGCAAAAGCCTCTCTTGAGTCTCCCTCCCAAGTGATGGGATTTTTTTTTTTAAAGGAAAGAACCTGTTTTACTGTCAAGCCTTTGATATCCTTTGGAACCCTTTCAAAAGTTCTTCCCAAGAGCATTGTAGGTCAGTGTGTGCCTAAGTGTAGCCTAGGTGCTATGGAGTTACCTCGTCTGCTGCTGAAATGCAGATGCGTCCTCTTCTAGCAACGCTGCGCAACAGGCTGGGAGATGTGAGGATAATGGTTTTCCAAGAGAACCTTGTCTAAAATTGTGCTTGAGGAAGGATGAAGGCGGTAGACCAGAACACGTGATTGTAAAGAATATCAGTAATGTGTTAATCCCTGTGGGGGCTTTATTATATATTCTTAATATCCAGTTCCAGCTTTTGAACCTATTAGAGAGAATGGCAAGACTTGATTGACTGAAGCAGCCTTGAGAGCCTTCAGCTGACGTTTGAGATGGGAACAGCATTTTCCTGAAATTGTTTTGTGTTCCTACAGAATCCTGTCCTTCCCAAGAAACCTCATAAGCGCCAGGGACACCCGCAAAGGACTAGCGGCCGCATTCCGAATGTGGAGTGAAGTTTCACCATTCAGCTTCAGAGAAGTGCCACGCCATGTAGCTAGTGACCTGAAAATAGGTAAGACTGCACGGGCTCCTGCGCTGGCGTTGCGTGTGTTAACGCCACGAGGGGCTTGCATTCAGAGGCAGGAGACAGCCCTCCTCCTTTGCTGTGTAGGCCCAGCAGGGGCTCTTGGATGAGGATTGGGGCATCCTTTACCTTTAGTCAGGTAGAGAAACTACTTTTAGTTGCTCTAAGGAGATGTTAATATCATAATCAACACTTTCTCTGACTCTTGCAGTTGGAAAGCTTTAGGTATTTGGCAAGGATTAACCCTCAAAATCTGCTGCTGGGACAGGATTCTCTCTGTTCCTCAGATGGGGAAACTGAATTTTGGCAGGTGAAATGACATATCCAAGGTCACACGGAGCCCAAGTGCAGGTGACAGATTCCAGCTTGGTTATGGTTTTAGTCTCCCTGCTGTTGGTCCTGTTGAAGCAGCACCATTGCTCTGTTCTCTCTCCCCTCCCCTTCCTTCTGCCCCGCGTATCGCTACGCAATAGCTACTTCCCGAGTTTCTCAGACCTAGAAAAATGTTACTGCTGAGGCGTTATCTGCTCAGTCTCAACTCCAGATGTAAATTCTTCCTGGGATTTATGGTCTGTGTGAAATAATTATTTCCTGTGCAGATGGCAGCAATATTGAGATAACCAGCAGATTGACCGTTGTTTCGCAACACGCCCTTCGCTCCCACGTTGCATGATGCTGCTTACAAGCACGTGATGTGCCTTCCCGGGGGCCTGTCCTGCTGCTGCGTGCGAGCTCCAGGTGGTCCAGTTCCAGTGGGCGCAGGGCACGCTGTGACGCTGGCGTGATGCTAGCAAAAAGATGGCAAGCAGCTGTGGACTCTAAGGCTGTTTGTTTATGTCTAAAATGGAACGATTACATCCCAGGGTTATCATCTCACTGCCCAACTTCTCTCTCTCTCTCTCTCAAAAAACCCCCCACGTTTCCACGTGATGTTGCAGTAAGAGCCCAGCGTTCCTTCCTGCAAAGTGGACTCGTTTGTGCCCATTGGACACAGCTCCGAAACCAGGCTCATGGCAGGGCTGCATATGGTTTGCATCACACAGCCATCGTTCCTGACAATCACTTTGCATTTATTTTGCCTTTTGTGGCTCTGTAGGTTGGAAAAACGTGTGGGATACCATAAGAGATTTTTTTTTTTTTTTTTTTTTTTTTTTTTTTTAAGTAAACCACAAGTTTACGGGTGTCTGTGTCCTGAATGGGCTTACCCTGCTGGGTACGCTAAAGCTGCTGCTTTTTTCACAGGCTTCTACTCTATCAATCACACGGACTGCCTGGAGTCTCTCATTCACCACTGCTTCGATGGAACAACAGGGGAACTTGCCCACGCCTTCTTCCCACCCAATGGGGAAATCCATTTTGACGACCATGAATACTGGATATTGGGAAATACTTTTTTTTTTTCAGCTGGAAAAAAGGTACATGCGTCTCGGGGAGGATGTAATTAATGCCTGCAGGATTTAGATGTTAGTCCTTGTTCTGGGTTTCACCGAGGGTGGGAAAGAGACAGCAGAAATGGTTGTGATTTTCTGTAGTCTTGGGCGTTGTTGCTCTTGCCATCATGAGACTGACCCGCTGTAAGGGACCACATTTGGCGGCAGTGCTGTTTCTTTCTGAGTATTTCAGTGGACTTCCTTGGTAATTCAGACACATACTTGGTAATTAACTCTGACTTCTGCCCAGGCAGGTGCATCTCTGAGAAGGGCCATGGTCTATCTCTTCAGCTTGCTAGCAAGGCTGTTTATGTTTTAGTTTTCCTGGGTCTGAAGTAATTTTTGGGTTTGTGGGCACCTAAAAATGTCTGTGTTACTTACAGCTTGGCGTTTTTTTCTTCTTGATTTTTTTTTAAGCAATGTCAAAATTAACTTCAATTTAAAAGCAGACAGTCCCTGACTAACTGGCAGATTTGGTTCCTGTTATATGACCGAGTACTTTTTTTGAAAGCAAGATATATTGTGCTTTTCACCAAATAAAAAGAGAGGAGGAGATTTTAGGTGACATAGAGGGACTTTTTATCCTTCTTGCTTTCCAGAGCACAGCAACAGATAAGGTCTAGGGACAAAGACCTAGGAGAGATGATTTTTAAAGCAAGAATGTCAGTGCGTATTAATTTATTATGCAAGGTATCAAGATAGGTGTCAGGAATAACACCTCTTGTGAGTCATCCTTCAGTTAAAATCCATCTCTGCTGGAAGCAGGCTTCAAGGTGCTTCAGAGAGAGGTCAATTGGAGGCTCTTTCAGACTGGAATATTCCAGCTAGCAACCTCATTCCCCAACAGCCATTTCCAGTCACAGCTCTGGGCTGTGGGAACAAGGTTAGCAGAAAGCTGACGGGAGGAAGTATCACACAGGGCACTTGCCTTCGTTTCAAACATTGCTCTCTCAGCGCAGTCTTCCTGTAGTCTGACAGAGCAGCTCTGTCTCCTGCTGTTTGAAATTAGAAGTATGTGGAAGTAATTGGCTTGTCTATCTGCACCCAGGCAGCTACAGAGGAGATGAAACTGGGGCGACCTTTGATAAGACCCATACTGTCCTGGTGCTAAAACATTTCCTCTGGTTTTACACCAGGATGGGCGAATGTACTTCACCATGCAATGCCAGCTGTATTTCTGTTTCTCTTCCAGGTGTTTGGCTTACAGATCTGGTACACGTAGCCGCGCATGAAATAGGACATGCCTTAGGACTCATGCACTCCCTGAACCCCAATGCCCTCATGCACATCAACGCCACTTTGACTGGGAAGAAGAGCATCTCTCAAGATGAAGTCTGGGGAATTCACAGGCTTTACGGTAAGGAAGGCAGGGTTGTGCTCTGGGCTCCTCTGTATGAAGGACATTTGCCTGAAGCATCAGTTGGATCCTGTGGAGCTCTCATGGTGTTAGACCTTCATCATTTGGCAGGACGAGCCTTATTCCTTTTTATGCAAAGTAGAGCTGAAAGGAGGTGTAGTGTTGTTGGTTTCCAGCACCACTGGCTTCAAATGTGAGAGACAGGGGGCTGGAAGCCTTACAGGCATCATGCTTCCACCTCCCCAGGTGACAGTTCTGAGAAAAGGTTTCGGAGGGGTCAGTCCGCTCTGTCCCCTCAGACTGCTGTGAGCTGCTACAGCAGGGGCACAGGCACTGGATGTGTTCTCCTGTGCTGAGCTCGTCGTGCCCCGGCCCAGCAACCGGCTCTGGGCATGCACTCTTTGGGCCTTTTGTACTGTGGCTTAGACAAGAACAAAAGGCAGATTTGAGCTGTGGAGAGCCCTGATCTGCAATTGTACATTTACAAGCGTCAGGTGCACGAAGGGAAAGCTCGCGTGCAACAGCAGGGGGAAGGCAAACAGCTGTCAGTTACTCTTTTGGCTGGACTCAGATGTATTAATACACCACAAAACGCTCAGCAAACCAAACAAGCTGTGGCGAGATGCTCTCGAGCTCTTACACATTTGCCTGCTGCTCTTCAAACATTACCCAGAGTAGGACTTAGAAACAGCAACTCTCTTGAATCACTGATGCTCCTGCATGGAAGTACAACATCACAAAGTACCACTGCTCATACGGTAACGGCACCCTGCTCTATTTATTGTGCTCCTGGTTTGGATTCCTTCCCCTCTCAGCTCTACCATTTACATTGAACAATTCAGGTGAAGCGTTGATTTGTGTCTCAGAAGGACCAGTCTACCCCAATCCCTCTCATGCCTGTGTCTCCTTCTGTTTCAGGATGTAAAGACAGATTATTTATGTGCCCATCATGGGCACAAAAAGGCTTCTGCGAGAAACGGAGGAAGTTGATGAAAAAGCACTGTCCATCGACCTGTGACTTCTGCTACGGTATCTATCTTTCCTTCTGGGCTTCTTGGAGGGCTTTGTACAGAGGGAGGAGGTAAAAGTTAAGCAGTGTTTGCTGCAGGGATAGGCAGGATTTTAATTCCACACTAAAGCTCAGTTGGATGCAAGTGGCTGGCCCCAGCCAGCTCTACTGAGCAGCGCAGCAGGGATGGCTCCTTATACATTTGAGCCAAGATCAAGGCTTGAAAAGAGGAAGCAGCTTTTATGTTTAAACATTTGTGGACTAGGACGTTAAACTGTTGCATTCTTCTCTAGTTTAACTGAACCAATGATAGGTTGGTTCCCACACAACTGCTGCGTGTGCGTCAGGCTGCTTCCCTTTTGGACCCAACTGAGGAAGCGAGATGCTGATGCGTTAAATTCAGAGATAAGAGATGCAGTGCAGTTCCTGATGCAGTGATGGGACATAAACAAGACAAATAACATCTCCAGCACAGCTGGACTTGAGCTGCTCTGCAGAAAAAGAGATGTTAAGTATGTTAATCACCTTAATCTAGTCTCTCAGGTTTATGAATCCAGATAAGGACTAAGGCAGGATCAGGTCAAGTTACTGCAGCCGTGGAACTAAGCTTCAGATAAACACCCACTGCCCTTAAGAGGATGTGTTGTGTCACTCGGGCCTCTTTCTCCAGTACAGAGGTATTTTTTTTAGACCAGATTAATGCAAAGGTGCAGGCAGATAATTACAAACCCACGTATTCTGAGGCACGGTTCATACGCTGAATATCTATAAATGGAAGAGTCTATGAAATGGGCGAGTTGATTTTCCTCCATCAGTTTACACATCACAAAATTGTTATCTTTGCCTGTGAATAACGTTATGATGTGTTCATCCCAGAATTGCTCAGGGGGAGGCACTTTTAATTTAATGCTTTTTAAGGTTCCTCAGGTGGTAACATAATTCTATGAAAGTGTTTTGGAATGACTAAAGCTTGATAATGAGGGGTGCTAACTTTTGCTATTTCTTTCTCTCCCCTCTGGTGCATAGAATTCCCATTTCCAACAGTCCCCCCTACTCTGCCCCCACCAAGGACGAAAACCAAGACTGTTTCTGAAGGCAGGAACGTCACCTTCCGCTGTGGACAGAAGATAATTCATAAAAAAGGCAAAGTTTAGTAAGTATTCTCTCATTTATTCCAGTCCTTTAGGAGCCTTTGCAGCTTACATACCAAAAAGGATGAGGAAGTGTGACAAAACAGCGTAAATAAGACTGCGGTTCATCTTCTGGAGCGTGTCGCTGTCTCATTTGGCACCGAGTAGGAGAGGGGTGGCTGGCTAACAGTGAGAAGGGAGCCTGCAAATGTTGGTCAGGACATTGCAAAGCACTTTGTCTGAAAGCAGAGCTATCAGAAATGAGCAAGCTGAGTTGAAAAAGGATAAAATCCAATTCACATATACAGCACAAAGGTAATTCTTACCACCAAGACAAATTCCCTGACCCATATTCTGCAAAAAACTACAGTCTTAAATTACCCTTTCAGTTAATAGTTTGTTAGCCCTTACTAGCGCATGAGCGTGTTATTTCTGGGTGTATCTAAAATTGAGAGATGCCCAAGTCCATGGGTTGGTTTAGGCTGAGGACCCAAATTCCCACCAACTTTCAGTAAGATTCAAAGTCCTAAATGACCCGAGCTCGTGCCCTGTTACAACTGCCATCATCTACCTGAAATACAGAGTAAATCTTAACCTTGTTTTGTTCAGGTCCCCTCTGTGCTGTACGCTTACTCAAGCAAAACTCACGAGGAGAAAGAAGAACCACTAACACATATTGCATTGTACTGGACATTTTGTAGTTTAATTTCTATTATTTTTCTTATGACAGCTGGTATAAAGACAAGGAGCTTCTGGAATACTCATATCCAGGTTACCTGTCCTTAAATGAAGATCACATGAGCATCATTGCAAATGCAATTAATGAAGGAACTTACACTTGTATAGTAAAGAAAAAAGAAAGAATCTTGACTACTTATTCCTGGAGAATCAGACTGAAGCACTAACGAGGGCCCTGGAATGAGCACTTCAATTACTGCTAGTCCTGTTTCAAAGTCAAAATGTTCCTTTGGCATTTTATATTTAATCTCCAGTAGTGCGACTGAACTTCTAAATCAGCTGGTTCCATACCTTGGACAAAAGAGACTCTGAGACTTGATTACTGGAACATAAAACTTTTCCAAGTTAGTTTTAATGATAAAGAATTTATCGAGTATGTCCTGTACAGAGAATTAAAAAAATTTTTTTAAAAAGTAAAGTGTCAGATTTTGCAGTTAAACTATGTGGATCACTGCGGACTGCTGAAACACAAGAACATACATAACTTCATCAAACAAATGGATGAACAGAGCGATGGCTCGGCTCGGTTGCAATGGAGGCAGAGGTACTGTGGAAGGAAAATGACCTGTTACGCTCTGTAAGTGTTCCGCCATCTTTTTTAGATCCTGGTGCACAGCACTAGAAGTTATAAAAAAGTGTAAGACTGAATATTACTTTTACGTGTCAGAAGGAGGACGTAGGGTCACAGCAAATGCTTTCTAATTACTCCGTTCTACTTGATCCTGGTGCACAGCACTAGAAGTTATAAAAAAAGTGTAAGACTGAATATTACTTTTTCTTTTACATGTCAGAAGGAGGACGTAGGGTCACAGCAAACGCTTTCTAATTACTCTGTTCTACTCTTCAACATGTTCAGCTCAAGTACCCACAGAACCTCTTTTTCCCCCGCCAACCGCTTTCCTGTGGTTTGTATTTATCACTCGTGTAGCCTTATCCCAACAGACTATTTACCTCCATCGGCAGCTCCTCAGACCTTGTCCTGTAGGTGGCTGATCAATAAGCCTCTCGACTCCTTCAACAGAGATGAGGTAATTTCCATCACTGTCCTCTCCCAGTCACCCAAGCGATGAGGTGAAGGCACCCCATCCAACAGGAAAACAGCATTAGCGTGGGCAGGCAAAGCTTAGCGCACTCAAACATCTAGAGCGGTGGAGCATTCATTTGCACAGCGAGGAACCCCTGACAGCCATCACGTTTAGCAAGATCCGTAGCCAGTATTAAAGCATCCTACATTGCTCTTTGCTTAGGGTCAGCCTTTTTTAGTTGTCCTGTTAACCTCTTGAAACAAGTTTCTTCCTACTTAAAAGCGCCAACAAAATGGCAAAGCATCTCACGCGCTGCGGTGTAGGTCAGCAGTCTAGGAGGACCTCTTGTCTTAGAGCGGAAGGGCTCTAGCAGCAAACTTCTCTGTCCTAGGACAACAACAGTGCAAGGGAAAAGAAACAAACTGGTAATTACTGTTTGTCTGGTACAAATGCAATGAGTGGACATTTAAGCACAAACTCTGCATGTCTTCATTTAACAGACATGGCTGCACCATACGGATCTGAGCAGCTCTTAAGGCAGCTCTGTCTTTGGGAGAGAAGAGAAACAAGACCAATGAGCTGATCAGCGTAGTCCTCAGTAACTATCGCAAGGGGGTGTCAACGCTTCAGCTGCAAGGAGGCTTTATCTTTGGGTAGATGCAAAGTCCTCCAGCTCCCTTATCACTGCGGCGTAACACTGTCTTTTAAACGTTATCATTTGTGCTTACCTCGTTTCATACAATTGCTCTGAATGCCATTTATTTACATTGCAGTAACCTACCGCTAGCTCTGTAGTGTGCTCCAGCTGGCTGATGCTTCTGGCAGGCAGTGTCCAGGCTGGAGTTTGGGGAGTAAGTGAATGCACAGGTAGGAGTGGTGGCAGAGGCAGGGCCAGCACTGATAGCCAAGGACCCGCTTTGCCACAGCCATCCTGTGCCAAGTTGGCCACCTCCAGAAACTGGATGCTGACCTGAAGGCCAGTGGAAAAAGAAACCAATGAACCAAGGTGCATGCTTAAGCCACCAGGCCCCTACCCAGCGGTGCGGGAACAGCGTGGCACAGCACGCAGACCTGCTCTGTCTGCAACTTCAGGGCTGTCTGGTGACCCAACAGAATCGTCAAGGAACTCAGGAAACAAAACCACTCGATTGATTTGCTGGTATGCAAAACAGTTCACAGCTTCGGTGATGCCCTCAAGGTAAGCAACAAAACTTACTTTCTCTCAGATTACAGTTTGAATTTATAAAAATAAACCAACAACAAAGTAAGTACCTAAACTACAACAATCCTGTGATTCCACCACACACACGCAGTGGAACTTCCATTTTGTTTTAAATGATCTATTTCTGCAAATTTTCCACCTTGGCATCAGTTGTTTAGAAAAGACCTCATTTCAAACTCCCCAGGAACAGTATCGTAGTATCCAAGAGACCTTAACTTTTTTTCCTCTCCTTACTCGCCTTTGCAAAGCTGATGTAGGACCGAAAGCAAACAACTCCCCATCACTGTCAAAGCTCCAGATTTGTTAGCCTGTGCTGGTAAGACTGTCTTCTAGCTGCAGTGTCTATCCAGGTAAGTCTCACTCATCTCAGCTGGTAAAGCACAGTTAGCACCTCAGGATATTATGCCCTCTCACTTCTCACGTATTTATTTTGCATGAATGAATAAGCTTAGGATTCAGTTTTACCATCACAGTTAGCTGAGAGTACAGCAGAGTATAAAACTTAAAAATGTGTCTTTGCATGGACAGTTAAGCTTGGGATCATAAAAGGCAAGGCCTCTGTGCAAAACCAGACAACTGAGGCAAAATAAAAGCTGAGCTGCAGTAACCAATGTTGCACTACTCCCGGAGAGCTGGTATTTCCCTTCTACAAAAAAACCCCCCAGTATTACACATCTCTCTCATAACCGTCTTAAATTTCCATTGCAATCCAGCATTAGGTTTTCTTTGGTTTACTGAAACTATCCCAGCTTAGATGAGTAATCCTTTTTGTCAGGAACATGGATCTTCCAGTGATGCCCACAGCGCCTGCAACAATGCCAAGAAAGCGAGGGAGGAAATAATTCACGGAGCGCAAGATGCACAGCACAGCTTGAAATGCAAAATATGCAAGTCATGGTCTCATCCTTTAGAGCTTAGCACAGGCCATGGCAAAACGACTCCTTTCCTGTACTCTGTGGGATGGAGCAAAAACCCTGCTTTACAACAGGTTATTGGTTGCCACCTATGAGGAATCGTGCTAAAATCCTGCGTACCTCAGTTACGAGCCTAGTAATGGAACTGTTTCACCCTCGGTACTTGGCAATCGAGCAGGCCTAAAGAGAAAATAGTTCTGCATTCCTCCATAGAAAAAAAACCCAACTGTTCCCAAAATTCACCATGATATTAGTACATCCCAATGCCAGTTCCAAGGCCTTTACCCAGAAAAAAACTCTTAAAACGGACTGAAACTGATGGAATGTTTATAATTTAAGTTAATCCTTTTACTGGACTGGTGCCCAGTTCTGACTGCATGAATACCCCAGTTTTTTCCAAATCTCCTTGTTCCCAGAAAAGAATGATAGCATTATAAATTAAGAGACTCGGAATGCTGTGATATTCCAACATGATTCCTCTGGTCTTTCATCTTATGAGAAAGGACTGGAATATGGCATTACACAACCAGTAAAGCTAAGCTCTTATTTTCTTTTTTTATGGAAAAAGGGCATATTTAAAAGAACTTTCTATAGAAAATAAAGTTTCAAGTCTCCATATTAAATCTTTTTGACTTATAAAACAATAGAGTACTTCTTTTGCACCAGTGCCATTGTAAATACATGTATACAACACATCAAACTGTTCAGCTCAGTAGTGCACCCAAAAATATTGTGAGTGTCAAGCCCAACCCAGCCTAGCTCTCTCCAAGGCACGCAACAGGAAAAAAAAACCAAACTCAGAACTGTTATGGGTTTTTTTTTTCCCCCTTAACTCTATTCAGACACATACAATTAACTTAAAATAAAATAATAATTAAAAAAAAAAAAAAGTTGTTTGCCCAGGCTGACTATGCTGTAATAGCGTCAGTACAGATCTGGGGCAGCAGGGGAATTAATTAACTTTCCACTCTAGAAGCCTTAATGCCACCAACAGCCAAGGTTGCTGCATGTGAAGAAATGAAATCCTTCACACTGTTAAACAATTAAAAATGTATTTTAATTCTACAAATTTACAAGGAGAAAACCAAAACAAAATAAACCCAACAACAACAACAAAAAAAAAAAGCCTAAAAATAAACCAGAAACTGTTCCAGGATTGTACTTCAAGTTTTCCTTTGTCAAATTCTGTAATGATCCTTGGCTTGTCGGGTTAATTCCAGTCCTCTAATGGAATGCAGCAGTCATCCTCCATACCAAGCAAGAGCCTTTGAATCTGTGGTGACATTTGACTTTTTCCCTGTGAAAAACATCTAGTCTCCCTGATGTGAAGAATAGAACTGGGGCACTCAGAAATCCACTCACATGAAAAGTTCTCGTTGTTGTTGTTGGTTTTTTACCCCTTTCACGACGAGTTTAAAACTTGAGGCTGAAACCAGGTCCTGCAGCAGATGCTCCTTGATTTGTGGTGGTGAGGTGAAACCCTGTGTCTTTCAGATCATCATCACCCTGTGAACATCAATCACAAGTCACTTGTCAGGAAGTGTCTGTGCACACAAAAAATCTAAACAACAGCAGAATGAATAGTTGTTTAATAAGGCAAATAAATAAATAAATCCCCCCCCAGTATCTTTAGATGAAAAACAAATGTCTGATTTAGTGGCATCGTAGCTAAGGTCGATGCAGTGTTATTCGTGATCTTTAACCATTGCTATTTCAGAAGTTATCTTTCTAAAGGCATCTCAGGTGTATTCCTCGTTTGTACACCTGCTTTGGACTGCACATGTGAAAGATAAAAAAAAACCCAAACCTGTGAACACACTGTACAAATAAATGTAAGCTACATTTAGTTATTATCTGATGAAACACACTCGGGATTCCTGCCATGGCAATTCTTATACCCTCAAAAATCAAGGCTAAACAAACTTCTAGGCTACTTCATCTGTTAAATTGGGCACAGTAACTGTACAGTGCCATTTCATCTATGCTGAGACACGGAAATGGTAATTAAAAGCTGATATAATTAGGGCACCTGAGACTGTAACAGGCCATACTTACAAGGGTGTCTCTTTCAGCCAGCTTTTTTTCAAAAATGGGCAGCACAAGCCCCACCGATGGGAAGAACACCAGCCTTGCCTTTTTTGAATTCGTCTCCAAATATGGGAAAAAGGAGACTGTTTCTACCCACAAGATGTGCATAACTTACTTACCAGGCTTTGGATTTTTTTCAAAAGTAAATTTGCATCTTTGAAAGCTTGCTTGAAAGTGTAAAACAGTGTACACTTCCAAAAGAAAAATCGTTCTGCTCCGTGATAAAACCGGGCATCATCTCTTTCTCAGATTCTGTACTGAAATGGTGATTCTGTGAATACAACAGTAATTGGACCTGCCCTTTGAAAAGGAACAGAGGGAAAGCTGGATTTCTAGAGTGTCTTTTTCATGCAGGTAGAGGTGAGTCTCAGCATCCCAACCCCAGGACTCTAATAAAACGGAGCCCACGTGAACTTTTAAAAAAAAAAATCAGGATTAGGACGTGTCTGAGGACAGCAGAAGTCTGTGTCCGTTGCCTCCATCTGCTGTGCTTACCAACTGACTGTAGCCAAGGCCTCCCTCAGGTGGTCGTGGGCTCGTGCCACGTTTTACCCTTTGTTGTTCACTTTTTGCTGGCCAGGTGGGAAACATGGAGGGGTCGATAGGAAGGGGAGTCTCGCGGAAATACTCATGCTTCAAACCATCTTCGGCAGTAATTCTTCTGGCTGGGTAGTATGTCAAAAAGCTGGGGAGAATTCAGAAAGACAATGAAATGGGGGAGAGGCAGAGGGACAGAACACATGGGTGATCTAAGATAGCTGATTTTAAAAGCATGCTTCCTACATGAACCTATAATTAATGGAACTGCAGCTGGCACTACATCTCAAAAGTAGCTTTTGTAGGGATCTGTTTAGAGAGGTGTAAATCGTTAAGACACCTCAGAACCCTTGGGTAGTCAGATACAGCTCAAAAGGGCTCCAGGATGGTTCAGTTAAAATATTTTGCAATGCTGCTTCGCTTTTTAGAGAAGACAACTGAGATGATATTGATACACCACAAAATATTGTAATATAGTTTAATTTAACTGTACACCTTGATTAATTTAAACCTTCCACAATACAGAAACATGTTTTACTGTACCTGCCAAACAGCATTTGGCCCTGACCTTGTAAAGCCTTACATATATATCTCCCAGATTTGTACACGTACCGAGTTCCACTGACTTACGTACACTTACGCGTGTTTCTCTAAGTTCCAGGCTCATGTTAATACTATAGTGTTGTCATTCTTACCCAAAATAATAAAGACACAGCCCTGTCATAACCAAATCAATTAAAAAGTAGATGACACTGATGTGATACCCATCTTCATTAATACAAGTTGTGCTTGAGCCTTCCGAAAGGTTATCTGATTTCCAATAAATTATTCACAACTCATTCAAAAGCCTGGAGCAGCATAATTCTTAAAAATTGGAAAGGCTGGAAATCCCCCTCCTTAAAAAAAAAAAAACCCAACCTGATTTCTTTTAAATCTATTTTTTTTAAATAGAGGCAGGTTCTAAGTAAGATCTGAAACGGAATCATTTCCACTACTTCATGTCATGAAATGTAAAAGGCAGAGCAGGGGAGGGAGGGGAATAAAAATCTCTCAAGCCCTTGTCAACCTTTTGAAGAAAAATTAATGGGAATGCAATCAGAATGCGCCAGTAGAGTTAGGGACTGCCAGAACATCAGATGTGACAGAACTCATGAACTTTGAACATCTAGGAAAAAAACAAGACTGCTATTTTCCTTAATATGATCTCTAGAATGCACTGCTTTTTTTTTTTTTTAAACTTTTTTCAACTGTTATTTAATTGCTTTAAAAAGATCCATCAGCAGTCTGCATGATAGCTGACTCACCACATAATTAAACGTGACACAAATGAGCTAAAACTACAACTAAACCATTCTTCTATTCTTCTAGGATATAGGTGTGTGAGAATCATCTTCCGACTGAGTTTAAGAGCAGGTGCCAAGAGCATGGTACACTGAAGAAAGCTGGTGCAAGGAATGTCACAGACAAACTTCAAATGCATCAGCATGTTCTGACAAGGTTAAATGCACCGAAATACCACGCTTCACTACAAGTCATCTTCCACCACTATCATAGCATGTGAACATGTTTTCCCAAGGATGCCCTAGGAGCTAGCACTTACTTGTTCATCAGATCAAACCCCTGATCAGAGAGGAGCGCTCCAAATCTCTTGCGTAGATTATTATAGGGATATTCTGTGAACGTCATCTTCTTTACTGCTGGCAGCTCATTGTAACCAGGCCAGATTTTTTCACTTGGAGTACCTAGATCCTGTAAATTAAAATATCTCCTTAATAAACTCATTCTAGAGAGCAACCCTTCTGCTTATTCATTCTGTAGCTACAGGAGTTGGTAAGCATCCAGAGAAAACAGACGAAACTCAAATCCTGATCCTAGCTCCCTGTAAGCGGTGTAAAACAAGAATCAGAGTAATGAGCCTTTTGTTAAGGCTGAGTCGCTGTCAAAGAGCAACGAGCACTTCTGATTTCTTACTACTCTAATGTACCTGCCTCTGAAACCAGTCAGAATCCAAAGTTGTTAAAAATATTACCTTAAAAACCTTGTTAATCTGGTCAATTTCTGACTTCCCTGGGAAGAGTGGTTTCTGCGTTAACAGCTCTCCGAATATACACCCTACCGACCACATGTCTATCGCCGTTGAATATTCCTGAAAAGAAGGAATATATTACACCTTATGAAATCAGTAAGATACTTTCACTGAGTTGTTTGGGGGTTTTTTTTGTTGTTTTGGTTTGGGTTTTTTTTTCTACCACTCTGAACAGAACACATACAACCATTCCAATATCCAAGGCACAGGTCTCAACTGTATTTATTTAGAAGTTAAAACTACCGTGAATTATAAGATGAGTAATATCCACAATCACCAATACATCAGGGTGAAACGTGAAAGTCTGCCTTTCTTTTTCACTCACAACAGCAATCTCAGGTTACGGGCACAAGACCTGCTCCCCACGGTACACCTCTTCTCTTAAACGTAGCCATTTCTCCTGTTACAAAAACACCTTTGAAAGATAGCATAGGGCTTCTTTCACTTTTGCAGCCTTTTTTTTTGGCGGTAGGGCAGTATTATTTTGTGGCCTGGTTCTTGTCATGAAGGCCGACAGAAACCTACTGATTTCATCCAGATTTCAGTTATGAAATAGGTCATCAGTAGGCAACACTGCCAGAATGTTGCCAGTACCCTGTTCTGCAATTGAGTGTCACAGATTTTAGACTAAGTTAAAAAAACATAAAAATCCAGCTGCCTAGGATGACAGCGACGGTTTGCACCAATCCACGAGAGGTCCAGCAGCACTACCACATCAGGAGAAAAACCCAATCTGTCACCCACCCGCCTACTGTCTATGGAAGATGGAACCTTTTTACCTGTGTTATCAGAAAAATAGTACTGAAGATTGAGAATTTCCACCTCTAAATTAGTATAAAGAATCAAGCGTACTCATACTTTGTTCACAAATTATAAAATAAAGTTAGTCTGAAGAAGTCACTCCTCTACCAGCCAGGGGAACAAGGAGAAACATACCTTGGCTCCAAGCAACAACTCTGGCGCCCTGTACCAAAGCGTCACAACCACTGGTGTGTAAGGCTTCAGTGGAGATCCGTATTCTCGGGCTAGTCCGAAATCTCCAACCTAAACGGAAATTGGTAAGCTGCAATATTTCCAACATTGACCATACCATTTACTAACAGTGCCAATATGTGCCCGCCACGTTGCATGGCTTCCAGCCTTCAAAAACAGCCACACAGAATACACTGTTTCTCATGGGCCTTCCTTGCCTTTTTCCACTGAAGGGGAAAAAACATCTTTCCCGTCCTAGGCCAAGTAAGAGTTCCTGTTATTTGACAGAAAGCTTATATGGCAGAGGGGAAAACCAAACCAAACAACAATAAATGCTGACTTCAACTTTGCAAGTAAAAAAAAAATTCTAAGTCCAGTTTCCCTGAGAAAGGGAAAGGCTTACCAACACTTACAGCTGTAAGATGTGAAACAACAATAAATGCTGACTTCAACTTTGCAAGGAAAAAAAAAAAATTCTAAGTCCAGTTTTCCTGAGAAAGGGAAAGGCTTACCAACACTAACAGCTGTAAGATGTAAATAATGGTAATATACAATTGGCACCTGCAGTTTAGAAGTAAATTTGAAATGTTATGTCCTGATCTTACTAGTACTGCTTTTCTCTTAAATTTTTGTCAGAAGTCAGCTTAAGGTTATACAGGTTTTTGAAGTGTGCAACTTTTTTTAAAGACTTTTGATTTGTAAAGAGAATCTCCATCTCCACCAGTAACCGTAGAGTTCAGCACTACTACACATATTTATATTCTTGATTAAGCCTCACAATCTCTCAAGTTGAAAGAGCAACCCCAGTTCAAAGACTACGATGCTGATATATAAAAAGTAAATGACCCTGTCACGCATACAATAAGCTGCATCAACAGGAAGAGAACACTGCTCAGGCTTCTAATTACACTATACAAAACTCAGTATTCACAAAAGCATGTTTATTAGTCACATCCTAGCATAAATCTTACAGTTGTGGCAGGGCAGTTTCTTTACTTTAGTAGTAAAGTTCACTCTTCCACAACTGTGTTTTAAAAGCCACACCTCACACCTCTTAAAGACTAATGCAAAACATTCTATCCAGCTCCTGACATAGCTATCACGCAGGGTAATTCTGCCGTACAAGCTTTTTCCTAAATGCGATATATTTCATGTAATTCTTACTTTTAAAATGCCCGAATGGCTGAGCAACAGGTTGGAAGTTTTCAGGTCTCGGTGAAGTATCCAGTTGTCGTGAAGATGCTTGACTCCTCGCAGTAACTGAATCATCAAGGTTTTCACTTCACCTGCAATGATAAAAAGAAGCCAAGTGCGTTTAAGAGAAGAAATCTAACTTTTTTTGTTGTTGTTGTTTGGAGAAAGGGGAAGGGGGCAAGGGGAAGAAAAGGATGTTGAGTTAAAAGCACAGTACAGACTGCACCATAAAAATGTCACAGAACCAAAGCAGTTAAAACCCACAGAGCTGCCAATAAAGCAAAATTAATTTGCATAGCTGGAAGGCATCCAAACAACACTCAGAAATGAATGCCTCTCACAAACATAGGAAATGGCCAAAATCAAACCCCAGTGTTCTTTTCCAGTTTAGTACAGGGGAAACTCCCTCAACTTCACATCTGAACCTCTGCTTCGCCCTGAGCATGCCAACTGGATCCATCAGCCAAACATCACTATGAATAGCTGCACTCCCAGCCCATGGTCCTATCTGAACTTGTATCAGTAAAATTGGACCGAACAGCGAAAAAGCAATGAGGTCTCTGTTCCAAAGAACACTCGTAGGACATTCCAAGGCAATACACGTCACTGCACAAAGTTAGTTCTCTGATGTCAGTACAGCCCAAAGACACTGAAGTTTGTGTTGGCCACAACACAAAGTTTTCTGCTTTTGAGAATTATAGGAGACTGTGCCAGACAGTACCTGGTAGAAACGGTTGCTTCATTGTTTCCATCAGACTCTTGAGATCGTGTTCTACGTAGTTCATTACAATATAGATTTTATCCATATTACTACCTACGACAATTTCCTAAAACACAGAAACAAAATGATCAAAACAAGCACACAGTATTTAAAAAGCATGCAAAAATTAATTTTAGAAATTTACTGGCAAGAGGATAGATGGAGCCTGTCACTGGTAAAATGCATAGAAAATGTATTTTTCTATGAAAAGCAAAAAAACCAGCTCATTTTTGCAAAACACTGGATTACGTAGAGACAAGTAATGTCTGTATAGTTTTATGGGTAATATACAACTGTTTACAGAAACAAGCTCTGCTACGAATGCTGACATTTTTATAAGGCATTTTAAAAGCCAAGAGGCAATATTTCAGGAACAAAAATAGTTTTAAAATAGAGGTTTGCTGCCTTACTCTGACAGTGACAATGTTTGGATGTTGTGCTTTCAGAATAGTATTTATTTCTCTCAGAGAAGTAATGGGAAAGCCTTCCTTTTCCTTTTCCATTTTCAGTCGCTTCAGAGCCACAATTTCATCTGCAAAGAAAACAGAATTATTAACTGCAGATTTCCCATCACATAGCTAATAAAATGTGTGTTAAGAGGTCCCCTAGTGTTTGGTCACTGATTTAATTTATTTGAATGAAAACCATTACTCAAGACATTCTGTCGAACCCAGAAGCAGACTCAGTCTCACATTAGCAAAGTAAACACAAAAACCCCACCACCCCCAACACAAGATTGCCAAGTTTAAAGAATAAAATCCAAAACAACAACCCCAGAGCTGCATCATGGATTTTAGTGTATGCCAATGTAACTCACCTGGAAAGAAACTAAAGAAAAAGTGTATTTAACTCTAAACTCCTCACCATAGTTCGGAAGATAAGACAGCCGCCAGAAATGCCTCACGTACAGTCTACCTCTGTTTAAAGACCCAGCTTGAAACCAAGGTGCTACTCAAAGCACGACTGAAGTGAATTATGTAAATACATCTGGGTTTTCCATGATATTTGTGGAGAATAATGGTTATGTCAGTCTTGGAGCGAGCCTCAAGACAGAGAAGGAAAAGAAAAACAAGCTCATGGTAGCTGTCCGGTAAACAAGTGAACTCAGAGAAACCAGGATGCCAGCTATATACTTCCATTCCCCAAAGGAGACCAAATGGTCATATTATTCTAAAATAAACAGAGGACCCAAGGCATCCAGAATTTAAACCTGTCACCACAATCACAGCTTGTCAGTTGGAACCTGAGAATAACCCTGCTTTGGAACACAGTGCTTTTCACAAGCTCTCCTCACCATCTGCCAACTCTATTTAAAACTGCAGATATTTAATTTACTGTGCTACAGTTCCCCTTGAAAATGACCAGCTTGCTAGAAAGTAATGTATCACTAGTGATGGCCACACTACAGGGAAACCGAGGTCAGAGCCAAAAGAACAGCTCGTATCTTGCTGCATATTATCTTTTTCCAGGGAAAAAAAAAAAGTGCTGCACGAATACCACTATTTTTGTTAAACTATCAAAGCAAATTATTTCTTTCACTTGAGGAATCACCATGGAAGAGGAACATACAATGACTTGATGGTTGGCTCTTGTACCATTCATAGGAAACACAATAGTTTTTTCAAGACGCTTGCCATTACAAACCAGATAAGCAAAGAGATTGAGTTTTAAAAATATAAATCCATTTGTATACACAAGAATTGGTTTTGTGAGAGTTAAAAAGAGTGAAATTTCTTTCTACAACAAAATACTGCAATAAATACTCACTGCACAGCAACTGCTGCTTTATGGATTCTCTGGTCAGTAGCTGTGCTTACAGTGACGCCTGGTGGAACACTTACATCAAATTTTAAAAACTTCCAACCTGGTAGCTACAGGAAATCTCAAGCCAGAAGTAACTGCCTTTCCAGGCAGAAACTGAAACCGTGTTAATCGTTCTACACCATCATGGCTAATACAGAGATCACTTCTGAACTCCAAGAGCTGCAAGCTGCTGCCCTTATGTCAAAGTCCACACCCTGTTAAAAAGCATAGATTATTCTTGATACAGAAGGAAGTATTTTAGACAGATTTTGTTCATCAATGAAAAATGCAGCACCGTAATTTGCACACAACTGCAGCCCTAAATACCATGAAATTAATAACTGGAGACCACTTATACTAACCAGTCTTCTTGTCTTTTGCTCTGTACACTACACCGTATGTTCCTTCTTCAATCCTGTTCAAACACTGAAATTCCTCCACGCTACGACATCCCTGAAAAAACAGACGGACATTTACTCCTCCAGCATCCGGGGGAGGGTTTTGCTTGGTTTTTTTAAGAAGACATAAGGCAGCCTTCAGCAACTTCAGAGGAATAGTTGAAAATTACCAAGAGAATTCAACAATAGGGCTACACCATGTGAGAAGGGTACCTTTGGGGGTTATTTTTACTTGGATCTCTAAAGGAATCCTGGACAGAGTCTGAGTTTTAGTAGATTAACTAAATTATTTCATAAACTCTTCACTCATTCACTTTTGCACAGAATAAACTGAAATTTCTGCCACAATGGCAAAGGAGGCAACTCAGCACCTCAGACTGACACCTTTCACATAATTCAATCAATAAAAGTACGCTTTCTCTTGGTATTTCTAAGCTTCGCTGTTGGCTACAAAAACCACCCGGTTCACGTTAACGGAACTCTTCTCTCACAAGCATCTATTTTCAGACAGCAATACGAAGACACCAGAGTATCAAATATGTTACTACATTCTTATCTATATCTAAGAGTAATCTCATTTTTGCTCCATGCACATTTTTTCCTTGTAAAAAAAAAAAAAAAAAAAAAAAAGACAGCAGTATTTCACACAGACATGTGGGTTTTGTGATGTTGAATCAGCAAGGCATATTCTACCTGTAAACTACCTCATGCACAAATACGTGTTTATGATGCTAACAAAGCAGCTAGGGAAATCCCTTTGCCTGGGACATTCTCACGCATCCTTTAAGTGATCCTCTACCTGAAGCGCAGGAAGGTACTTGGGAAGCTCTTGTTTCAGTTCAATGGGGGAGGAAGCTGGTGAGTCAGGAATATAGTCTCCTTCTGTCATTGCATTGGAATGAGGGGTGCCCTCCCCTACTTCCTCCTCTTGTACGTCAGTTCCTGATGAATCTCAAACCTCGACTCTGTAACTTTAGAAGTCAGAATCAGTCGTGGAAAGAGGGAACCATTTGGAATGATTACATTCAGCTTTAGACAAATAAGGGTAATGAAACACTGATCATTATACACGAGATAGGTGTGCAACTTAAGTTTCTGCAACAGTAAAGATCAATGAGAAGCCTGATTCTCCTCTTTGCAGAGATGATGCCTTCAAGAACTCATTTATAGTCATGTGCATACAATTTCCAGCATTAAATACAGCATGTCAGAAAAATAAACCTTTACACTAACAGAAGGAGAAAGAAAACTGACTCAGTAGATCTGATTGGAAAGCTTTCTTGATGAGAGCATAGGACAAGAGACCCAAAAATGAGAAAGAAGGAAACGTCAGCTCGTTAGACTAGGATCTGATTTCCTCTAAACAGACCTTGGAACAGATTTTAAGGAAATTCTGATTCTGACATGAAAATGGCCCCAAAATCCCAAATATATGATGCTTTAGAATGATGGCAAAACTGCAACAAGAAATTAATCTGAAATATTTTAAAATATGTGTAGAAATAGATTTATTTGGCTGCAAAAATTCAGCCAAACACTTCTTTAAATATTCAGTATTTGCATTGTACCAACTGGGATGTGGTTTCCATTCTCCCGTTCCTCCTCTTCACTCATTTCTTCCTCGCTCACCTCTTCTGCAAAACAGAATCAAGTGCAACTGAATAAACTCAACACTTCTGTAGTTCCTTGTAAGGCAGATCACTACTGAAATGCTTTTCTAATTTACCAGGCTTTCTTCACCACTGTCTGGTTAGTGACCTCGCACTTGTTTCACTTGGAAAGCAAATGCTTCCCCTAACTCAACAGAACTGCACCTTTCAGCTTCCAACAGGGAATACAATTCTTATCAATTATCTGGGAACTTGTGGATGGGGGCCAGGTGAATAAATTAAATCAGGAAACTTATGAATATTTGCTATTAACTGTAATTTTAAAGAAAAATATGCAGCCATCAGAGCATGCTTTTGTGCCTTTCCTTTACTACTTAATGACAAGAATGGCTGTAAGTAGACTTTTTTACTAAACCTTTTTTTATTGTGTTCGTTTATTTGTACTGGCATGAAAAAAAATCCAAAATTTGCAACTGAAAATAATTCAAAATGACGAAGACATTTGTATTTCACTACCCCCCAAACAAGCGCAGAATCGCTCTCTACAGAATATTTGTTATGTTACAAAATTACTTGAACTGTTAGCCTTACACCATTTAGGAAGATAAAAATGGCTTTTGGTTTTCTAATCTGGCTTCTTAGATGAGTAATTGGTATTACCTCTATATAAAAGGATAGAATATGACTTGTACTTGGTTTTTTTCTTTTTAGTTATCTTGACCTGTGAGGTCTCAGCCTATCCTAGACTAAGAGAAAAGGAAAATGTTCAAATAAAAGAATACAGAATGAGAAACAAAGAAAATCGTAACACACCATTCTAGGACCTGCTTTAGGTTACTCACCAGCTGACTGCTCAGATGCTTCCTCAGAATTGCTTCCTGTCTCCTCCTCCTCCTCCTCTTCCTCTCCCTCTTCCTCAGAACCTTCACTGCTAGACTCTTCCTCCTCTTCTTCCGAGCCTGATCCAGATTCTGTTCAGAAATAATCAAACACATAACTAAGTAGGCACACACTCTAACAACAGTGTTCCCTCAACAGGCAACTGTAGAATTAATTACATCTACTAAATTGCATCTCATCACCTGATGAAGACTCAGCCGAGCTGGTTTTTCTCTCACTGTCACTGATGTCTTGCAAGTCTGAAAGAGGATCTCTCTCTTCTGGCTTCTCTTCTTTTACTGTTGAGACCATAAAAATTAAAAACAGGATGCTGACTGAATGTCATTTGTAAGACTGACTACCCAGATAACTGCTTTACTTTCTCTGTCCATTCAATTGGTGCTGAACATTCTGTATTGGAAATACAGAACACTAAAAAAAAAATTCATGCTCTGCTTGAAAGACAAACAGCTTTTCTGAATTGCAGTGGTGCAGGATCAACAGCCAAAGATGTGAAATATTGACCTTTTGGTTTTTTACATGTGATATACACCTAAGCCCCTCTAAGTGTAATTAACAACAACAACAAAAAAAAAGGTAACATGGTAACAAGTATCACCACAACACAGTCTCACTAACGTGCGTACATACAGCGCTTACTAGCCGTGCTTATTATTGTAATGCAGTCCCTCCAGACCACCGTGAAACAGCACGTGCGAGTAACTGTTGATTGATTATAGACAGTAGCCTCAAAGGACTTACTGCCTGCCTCCACCTGGAATTTCAGCTGATTACATTCTGCAATCAGCTTACTTGAAACACTTATTTTTACAGCTACACACATTAACAAAGCAGACACAGAGCTTTTCTTCTTTAACCAAAGACACTTTTCCATCAATTGTGCAAGTTCTCTACTCACAGTTAGGACCTTCTAGGCACTGGAAGGACCATTTTCTGGCTTAGAAAACAAATTTCACCATCTAACCAGAATACTGCCTTAAGCATTTACTGCTACAAGATGACAGTATGAGTGATGCTTAAACTATATCGATCCCTGTAAGGCAACTTCTTAAGGTAGTTTAGTTCCTAACAACAAATCCAACCGGAGCTAGAGTATGGAGTAAACAATCCCTGTTTAATCTGCAAGGGAATTAAACTACAAAATTTTAAAAATTCAGTCAGCTGCTTCTTCCACCATTGAATTAAGGAACTCAAACTTTTTAAATGACTACTCCTACTACTAAAAAGGATTCATTCAATTTGTCACTTGCACAATTACCTGTGAAACCAGCACTGCTTCAGAAAACAGTACATATGTATTCACGAATTTTCATTCACGAATCATATTCATGAATATTCCAGAGTTATGCCACCACGGCTGAAGTGGACAATGCTTTCAGTAGAGTACCAGGGACAGACATTTATGGCTAAAAATAAAACACTACCCCAGAACAGCTCCTCCTAGCCCCCAGGCAAAGACATTATAAAGTGGCAAATGCTACCTGGTTTCCTGCTCTCTCCTTGCTCAAGCTTGTCTCTTTGCTGTCGTAATGGGCTGCGACTCCAGGGTCTCATTTTTACTTTGTCTCCATATTCTTCCCTCACTGTTCTATGGTGTGCAGAAACTAGTGAAAACAAAACCGGAAGAAATTGTTACATCTCCCTGCCCTAGTTAGAATACTTCTGTCTGCCACAACCACCTGCTTTGCGTACTTTTCCTTTTTCCTCACAAACTAAAGGGTAACGGGGAGGAGTGGAAGTGGAACCTAACTATATCTAGGAGAATAAAGGACTATGATTTACCTCATGCACAATAAAATATGAGTTTCTACTACTTAAAGAAAGGCGCTGCCATACTTGGGAAACAGATGCAAGATGCCCTATATACTGCACAGTGAACGCCCTGAAACTAAGGCATTAATGCCGGAGAGGGAAGTGGACAGACCAGGAAGATACACAAAAGAATAAAAACAGCTATGGGTTAGAAGGAGCTGACAGAACATTTAGAGCAATAAAAATAAGTAAAATGGAAGGCTCGATATATTGAACAATATCCGTGTAAACATCAAGCACAAAAAGGAGCTGTTTGGTATGAGCCGAACTAGACAGAACAGCAACAAATACAGCTGCTTCTGCTGCTCTTGAACAATCTGTGTCACTTGATCACACGAATGGGCTCTGATTTTTACCTCTGAAAGCTGGGATGAAGAGACCCTTTAACCAAAAATGTTCTGAACTTAGATTGCAAGAATATGATACGCTACGCAAAGTGAGGGTTCATGTGCAGAAGTGAACTTAAATTGTTCAGTCATCAGATCTTCCCCACTTGACTCCCACTACTGCCTTTTTCACGGTCAGAGTATTTACACGATCTCTCTCTCCCCCTTTGCAGTTTATCTCCCCAATTCCTTAAAACACTTAATTTTGAGACTTCAACCTCTATTAAATTGGGTTAGACTCTGCCAGAGTTCAGGAGTGACTGGGATTGTGACAGGTACACACGCACATGCACAGAGACAACGTCAATTACATAAATTTTGTTTCTAAAGGAATCCAGACTAACAGAGAGAGGCAAAGAAAGACTAACCAATATGCCATGACATATGACATTGTTGTACTTCCCCATGTAGAACTTCATAAGATTTTTTTCCTCCCACCATGGAGAAGCCTCTCCCCACCTCTTTTTTTCTTTTTTTAAATTCTAGCTTTCTATACCTCCATTCCACCATTATGTCAGCAGAGAGTAAGCCTAAACAACATTCATACAGCAACAGTTACCTTCTCTCCTGGCTTCCCGTTCCTTACGTCTTTCTTCAGCTCGCCGTTCTCGTTCTTTCTGCTCCCTTTGTTCTTTTTGCTGCTCTCTGATTTTTCTCTCTCGTTCTCGCTCCAGTTGCTCCAGACGATCTCTAGAAAAGAATTATTTTTGTAACATTACAGTTCACTACAAATTCAGCATATGAAGTAAAGGAAAACTGTTTTTCTATTACAAACTACAGGACTATTCAATTTCTTTAGCAACAATACCACTGATTGCCTATGGGTCAAAAACCAGGCGTATCTTTTCATCTGATCCTTTAAAAACAGTGTTTCAAGGACCACGCACTTTCAAACACATGAGCTTCTGCACCCTTATCAGGATTTAAACAGAAATCAAGCAAGTTCAGTTAAGAAATCCCCTGATACTACGCAAAACTGGTTTGCGCTTTTTTTTCCCCATTATAGTAAAACGCTGGCAATGAATTCACCTAGAAATATCTGCTGTAATGAAGTCACTTACAAAGCTAATTAAAGTCAAGAACACATTTTCATTAGACAACACATTCACAGGAACATGGCATCAGACCTTACAAGTTTTTGCTCTGAATTTTTTTGTCAATGAAACAGTGAAAGGTTAGAGAGAGATTTAGAGGAGGAAGCTGTTCATCTCTTTGTTGGTTTGTCACAGGGGAGGGAGGGAGGGATGTACCTCTCCCTCCTGGAATGCTCCCTTGCCATTTCTCTCCGTTTCTGTCTTTCCCATTCACGACGGGCTTTATCCTGCTCTTCTCTATGTCTCTTCCTACGCTCATGTTCCCGTTCTTTCTCTTTCACTCTGGCATGTTTCCCTAAACAAACAAAAATGAATTTTGGAGTGTTACTATTCAAAATATTTAGCGCTCCTATTTTTAAAAAGCAAAACTAGAAAGGATGAAACTTATGGTAACCTATTTTCATGTTCTCTGTTATTTTCTTAACAGAAGAATCCTGATCTGAAAGGGTGTTGGAAAATTAAAAGGTTATAAGATCTTGCACAAATGCTTGCATTTGGAAAGAAACAGAAAAAGGCTGTTAGTAACAGGAATACAACACAAATCATAGAATCATAGAATGTTTTGGGTTGGAAGGGACCCCTAGAGGTCATCTAGTCCAACCCCCCTGCAGTGAGCAGGGACACCACTAACTAGATCAGGTTGCTCACAGCCCCATCCAACCTGGCCTTGAATGCTTCCAGGGATGGGGCCTCCACCCCCTCTCTGGGCAACCTGTTCCAGTGTTTCACCACCCTCATTGTACAGAATTTCTTCCTTATATCTAGTCTAAACCTACCCTGGTTTAGTTTAAAACCATTACCCCTTGTCTTGTCACAGCTGGCCCTACTAAATGTTTCTGAAAGCGATATTTTTTCCTTTACAGTCAGGTACAAAGATCATAGCTCAGCCCACTCACTCACTGAAGCCAGAAAGAAGCTTAACAGACTTCAAAGAGTGAAATAGGTCCTATGTCCCTGTCCCAAATTATTACTGTCCTCTCAAATACATATCTGTCATCCCCATAACAGCATTAAACATAATTGAAGAAATAATACCAGTTTAAAATCCTTTGTCTTATCCACCTGACATGTTTTCTTCAGTTTGCAGTTATTACTGTTTACTTTCTACATAGTGCTTGTTTGGCTTCACCTTGGGAAGCTACCAGAAATCTTATCCAAATGTAGTAATAACAACCTTCTGCTGAATGACTACGATGTCTACGTTTCTCTTTCCTCTTCTCATCTTTTCTATGATGGGTTTTTTCTTTCCGTGACATTTGCTGCGGTGGTTTTATAGCCAAGGAATCATCTTCTTCTCCTCTACAACACAAAACAAATTAATAAACTCGGGAAGGTTAGGTGTACTGTCCAACAGACTGCGTGTTATTTTTTCTTTTCACCATTTTGAAAAGAATGCTTTTTTTCCTATTTTATTTATATTGAAATTCCATAACACCCCTGGAACCAAGGCATTAACAGTACCCTACAGAAAATCACGGTCACATAGATGAGAAGTCAGGCTATTATTACACAAGCAAACTGAGGATGAATTAAGCACTGAAGGCTCAGCAGGCCTGCTTCAACTGCATTTTGAGCAAAGTATTTTATTACTAGGTAGTGGCCAAAATTAGATCACAATTCTGTTAAGCCTTAATCAGTACTTCAAAACGACACCCTGGCATGTTCTACGAACAGGAGGCAAGACGGCACATCTGCATGCTAAAGAAGTTAAACTTTTCCCCTTCAGGTATTTCTAAATGCTCGCTTCAGTACTTCTAAAGTCTAATTTCAGTATCTCTCCCTAAGGTAACAAGGTTATTCTCTTATTCTTACCTGTCTTCCATAGAGTCTTCCCTCCTGTAAGGTGAATTTCTAATTGTTATTTCCATGCGATGATCTCTCAACTCCCCCTCTTCAAGAGAATCCCGCTTGGAATCCCTATCATCTGACTGTGACAGAAATGCAAGAAAGGGCAAAACCAAAACGCAATTAATTTTTACCTCACAAAATGAAAAAAATTAAATAGCACTCAACTCTTCCATTCCTGGCTCAAGAGCCATCCTCAACTGACCACGCCAGTAAAGTAACTAACTTATGAAGCAGAGATTTCATAGTTTTAAGCAGCCAAATGCAGTTTGATTGCAATTATAGCTGAATTTCTATTAATTCAATGAAATTAGACAAAATTAAACAATTAAGGAAGATTGCATTATCTATCTTTTTTTCCAAAAGAATGTTATGTTGTACATAATTGTATAAAACCAAATAGCAACATAAAAGTTATTCAAGAACAATTATTTAAACCCATTCTTCTACAAAATCTTTGAAAAGTTTTTACTCCACCTGCAACTTCCAGCTAATCGCATCGATTTCTTTACCTTTTCTAACCAACGACTACGAAACAAAGCACAGCATACGATGTAAGGCCAACGAGACCTTAGCAAAGCATCGTATCCTTGTCAAACTTTGGAATTAGAGATCACGCACGGAACATGCATAAGAGCACAGAGGAATTCTGCTGACAGGGCAAGAAGCCTTGTTGTCATCAGCAAAAGAGGGCATCGGCACTGAAGCTCCTCAGGTTTCATTAGACATGCACCTGGTATATCAAAGGGCAGCTTACATTTTTCATACGCTTTATCTCTGCCTTCTCTTCTTGCTCCTTCCTTCGTTTTTTTTCCTGAAGAATTTCATCTAAAGTTTTCACTTTCCAAGAATCCTTTTCATCACCCATTTGAGTTAAAAAAAAAAAACCTCTGAAAAAGAACACTACGTTAACGAAACCCACGCAAACCACGCAGTCCAACGCAGCTATACCTACTTTACGCTGACTTTTTATATACAGACAAACGCTTAACGCACCACCTTCAAGTAAAGTCAAGTTAGACTGGACTTAGGCTGAACCAGACGAGTCCGGTTTAACCCCAGAGGCACGCGCAGTCTTAGCTACGAGCTTAGGACCCGTCCGAGTAAAAGGAGCAGGCGGTGGGCAACCCCGGCCGCCGTTTCCCC